TATGGTTCTATGACCTTCAAGGACCCTTCCAACTCAACCACCCTATGGTTCCATGATCTTTAAGGACCCTTCCATCCCAACCATCCCATGGTTCTATGATCTTCAAGGACCCTCCCATCCAAAATCACCCTGTGGTTCTATGACCTCCAAGGACCCTTCCAACTCAACCACCCTATGCTTCTATGATCTTTCAGGACCCTTCCATCCCAACCATCCCATGGTTCTATGATCTTCAAGGATCCTCCCAACCATGCCCATGGTTCTATGATCTTCAAGGACCCTCCCAACCAAAACCACCCTATGGTTCTATGATCTTCTAGGACCTTCCAACCCAACCATTCCGTGTTTCTATGATCTTCGAAGGAAACCTCAGCTCAATTGCCTCATTTGGTGGTATTTCTTTCTTTCCTCTTTTATTTTCTTTCTTTCCAAAGTGCTGAGCAGTTTCCACCACCCCAACAATCCAACCCCAGGACATCCACGTCTTGCCCCCCAGAAAGCCCCCAAGTGGGGTGGATGGCAGCAAGGGGAGCTGGGCAGAGGCAGAGGGTTGGAACACGGTGAGAAATCCAACCTTTCTCCCATCTGATGGCATCTCACTGAACCAAACAATCCAGGCTTCTTTTTCTTTCTTTTCTTTTTTTTTTTTTTTTCTCTCTCTCTCTCTGCATTTTTAAGGTCTGAAACGAGAGCTGTAAAACCCCCATTGAGCTGGAAAGAGAACCAAAGTTCTCGAAACCGGTTTGGCAACGCGTGACCTTCCCATGAACAGTTTATACCAAAGCTCTTCCAGCAACACGCACTGAAGGAACAAACCGAAACCATCGAGGGGAAAACACTCTGGCCACAAAACATCCAACGGTGGGTGAAAAAGCCCCAGTGAGCAGCTCAGGGCGCATCGCTGGTCGTCCCCATCGATCAAAAAGCACATCGATATCCATTCGTTCGGGGATATCAGCAGCTCTGCGGGAGATGGAAGCAGAATTAAGCTTATTCCGTGGAAGAGAAAAAAATATAATAATAAATCAAAAATAAATTAATGAATAAAAGCCTGGCACAAGCCCGTGCCCCAGCTGGTGTCAATTGGCCGCCTTCCCGTTCCTGCGGAGCTCAGCCGGTTCCTCCAAGCGCGGGATCAGAGGAGCCGGGATCTGCCTCAATTCTCCCCTCCCTGGGGGGATTTTTCTCTCGCCCTTTGTTTTCTCTCGCTTTCCCAGGCCCCTCTGATCTATTGTCTTCCCGCATTAGGAACAGCTGATATTGGCTGCTGTCTTTGACAACGCTCGCGTGTGAGCGGCGCGTTGAGCCCTACCCAGCAAAGCCATTGGGCTCCATCCCATGGCTGCTCCTCATCGGCTGCTCCTCTCCCAGCGTGTCCCCTCCCCTTTTCTTCCTTCTTTTCTTTTTTTAAAGCAATTTGGGTGTTTTTAAAGCTGCTGGCTCCCATCCGAAGGATTTTTTTGGGGGGGGCGGGGGTGAAATTTGTGGAAGGGTGTGAAAACTCCTTAAAACGGAGAAAAACATCGGTGTACGTATGAACGAAAAGGCAGAATTTTGATGGGGGTCATTGGGAAGCCAAGGGGATGGAAGGGGTTTTGCTGGGAAGGGTTTGGGCATGTCTGCATGGGCAGATTGAATTGAGGTTTTCTTCTGCGAATCTGTGCTTTCCTTGAGCAAACATGAGAGGTGTTCAAGAAACGGGGAGATGTGGCACTCGGGGACGTTGTCAGTGGGCATTGGGTTGGGGTTGGATTGTTGGTCTTGGAGGTCTTTTCCAACTTTAATGGCTCCATGATCCGATGAGCGGGCATGGTGGGGATGCCCACTCCCATTACTAATAGAATATGATTCTCCCTGGGAATCAGGAGCTGAACTGGTTGTGTGGATCCAACCAGGAGCGGGTTCTGGACCTATCAACCCCTCCCTGCCTGCAAAAAACTGCCAGAAGCAATGAGCAAGGAAGCCAACCCACACCCAAGAGGGAGCCTGGTGCCTTCAGAAGGGGATTTACAACCCAGAAACACAAAGCTGAGCTCAGCAAGCCACACATCCCCACATTTCACTCCTCTGTCACCTTGCTGACCCTATAGATCTTGCTCTCCTCTCACTCTCCATCGTGGACCCCATGCACGAGCCGAGCTGACTGAGGGCTTTAACCACACATCATCTCCTCCCTGCTCCATGGCAGGCACAGAAACCCAAGCTCAGCTACATGCCAGGACTCTGTGGGGTACAGGGCCGGTGGGGAGATGCTGCTGGAGGCACCACAAGGCTCAGATGGATGCATGGAAAGACTCTGCCCTCTCCCAGATCAGAGAGGGAGGGATGTGGTGCAGGATGAGTATCACATCATAGCTGTGTAATGAGGGCTACACAGGACTCTTAGAACTGTAGATAGAGGAAGAGAATGGGTGGGTGAATAGATGGACGGGTGAATAGGTGCAAACTCAAACCCATTTCGGGTTTGGTGCTATTTCTTAAGAGCAGTGGATGCCCAACGGTGTCACATCTTCCATTGGGTTAAGAACTCATCAATTGCTTCGTTGGGGCATCCATTGCTCCACACCTCCACTTGAACAACACAGGGACAAAATTCTCTTCCATGCTGGACGGGTGAAAATTGCAGGCTGGCTTTTGTGGGGATCTTAAAATTAAGACTAAAACATTAAGACTAAGACCAAAACGGCTTCCCTTGACCTCCATGGCTGGTGTTCACACCGGCATAGGCGACGTCCCTTGATGTCCGGGCAGCAAGCAGGAGCATCTGTGCCAGAGGGCTTGGGGGTGTCGGTGGAGGAGGGAGGGAGGAAATCTGGAACCCATAAGCTCCAATGCTGTTTGCGTTACCTTGCACCGCTGCATTGGTCTGCGCCTGATCCGCCCCCGCTCCTCCTCACCCTATCAGCAAAAGCCTTTCCCCAAAGTTATCCGAACGCCCTCCTCTCCGTCGCCCAAAGGAAAAACCAACGGAGCTCCTTGGAGGGCTCGGCGGGGCTCTGGAGGACTTTGGTGGGGATGAAGGACTGATGCTGAGCGTTGCCTTCACCGATGCTCTGAGAGCGCGCTGGGAAAGGCTCCTAGCTCTGCCAAGAAGATGAAGGAGGAAAACATGTGCCCGGAGTCTCCCGAAGGCAGCCTGGTCACCAGCGAGGAGGAAGGTGAGCGACTGCACAAGAAATGCCTCCGCAAACGAGGCCAAGCGGGCAAAGCGTTGGAGGACAGCAGAGCCGCCTCTCCGCAGGGCAAACGCTGCAAGCGCAGCCCGGTGCCGCAGTCCTTCGAGGATGTGCACACACAGAGGGTGATCGCCAACGTGCGGGAGAGGCAGCGGACCCAATCGCTCAACGACGCCTTCGCAGAGCTGCGGAAAATCATCCCCACGCTGCCCTCCGACAAGCTGAGCAAGATCCAGACCCTGAAGCTGGCGGCGCGCTACATTGACTTCTTGTACCAGGTGCTGCAGAGCGATGAGCTGGACCACAAGATCACCAGCTGCAATTACCTGGCCCACGAGAGGCTGAGCTATGCCTTCTCTGTCTGGAGGATGGAAGGGGCTTGGTCCATGTCTGCATCCCACTGAGCCCGGGTACGTATGGCGAGGCTGCAGAGCGCACATCCTTTGCTCCCGCGTCCCACATCCCATTATGCATCTCCCAGCCCACCCCCCTCGTGCTCCACATGCTGCAACAAACCCAGCCCATCCTGCTGGGTCTCGGTATCCCGGTCTCCGCTGTCCCTAAAGCAGGATTGGGTTTTCCTGTGGCATTTCTGGGTGCCAGCTCTGGTGTTGGGGTCAGAGCCAGCCCGGTGCTTTGGGGAATCCAACTGCAAGAGGAGCAGGGACTCCGTCTTCTTGCATCCCAATGAGGGCCACCCATTGGGAAAAAAATTCTTTTTCTTTTCTTGGTCACTCTGGTGCACTCTCCTTAAGCTCCGCTTCTTCTTCTGCTTGGTCTTATTGGAGATGCTGTCAGAATTGGCAGAGCTGTGCTCAAATCAGTGGCTGCGTTATGGCCAAAAAGGGCCAGAAAAGGGGATTGAAATGGTGCACAGCCCCATTCCTAAGCCCTCGGTGCAGTGCCCGTGGGATCCCCATCTGTGTCACTGAGGGCTGCGGGATGGGATGTGCTCAGCCCCTCCTGAGTGCCATCAGTTCACATTGCCTTCGTCTTTAGGGTGCACCTGGGGGAAGCTGGACGGCAAAATTCTCCTCTTTGCCCCATCCTCAAATCTCGAAAGAGCAGAGGGAGAGAAAGGGGAGAGCTGTCCCCGCTGAGACATTGCCAGACTGGGAAGTGGCCCCAGTGACAGCCAGGCAGGGACCTTGGGTGAGTCCTCTGCTGAACAGCCCCAGTTTCAAGGCAGCTCCAGGGATGGAGGTGCAAACGGCGGCTGAAGATGGAGAGCGCTCCCATTGGGATTCCATTTCATGATTAAAATCTTACTTCCCATCCTGGGGAGATCCCTGGCACACGGTCCCAAATGCGGGGCTCTGCGATGCCACCCCCAAGGACCAGAGGATGCAGCTGATGCTGAAGGGCTGCACAGCACAGCTCTGCTCCTCTGCTTATAGGAGAGCTGGAAATGTGATCGGAGTGTGGAGAGCCGCAGGAGGAGCCCACGCTGAGGAGCACTTTGCTAATTGCCCTGATCTCTTCCCTTGAGGACTGTGGGGCTTTTTGGTGAAGGTCCCTTCCTGCTGGATGCAGTGTTGTCTAACGGGCAGCTCAGGCTCCAGCTGCTGACTTCCAGACCTCTTTATTTGAGCTGAACGCTTGGCAGCAGCTTTGCTCCCGTGACAAACAGAGGAATGAAAGACCTTTAGCGATCTCCCCATGAAATCCCTCACGTGCTGCTCATTGCCCAACCTTAGCATCCGTCCCCGGCAGCTCCACACCTCGCCTGCAGGCAGAGCATCTTCGTGCTGCATAGATAACAACCCGCTTTGTGCCAACCCGCAGCGGCACTCGCTGCCAATTAGCAGCTCCCTCTTGGGCTGTGCTGTGAGAGGAGGATTCGCTGAGCAAAGAACAATGAGAGAGGAGCGATGCCGGCGCTGGGGAGCCCTCATTCATTCGCCCTCTCCCATAGGTGAATTAACCTGCAATGGGACCGTAATGTTATAACATAAAGCAGCGAATGGAAGTCAGCCTATTAAATATCAAAGGGAGCTGGAGGAGCTGGATGGGGATGTGCCCTCGTTAAGCGGGAGCCATTATCCGGGGAAAGAGGGATGGAGCCCTCGGGCAACAAAATCCATGTTTGAAGTCCCCCAAGCTCACTGCTTTCAGCGCATTAAAATGGTTTCTATTTTGCTGGAGGAGAAAACGAGGCTGGAAGCACAAAGTGGGGAAAGGAGGGGGGGGGGGAGGCTGGAGGAGCTGGGAGGGTGAGATTCTGTGCCCTTCATTTGTCTCCCCGGATTTATCGTCTCTCTCGTGGTGCCTTCACTTAATTGTCTATCTTGAAAGACCTTGGATAAATCTTCCCTTTGGGGACTGTTGCTCTCGCTCGGGGTCTGCTTTGTCGGGCGGACGTTTCATCTTCTTTTATTTATAAATACGTCTCATTGCACGGAATTAACGTGGCAGGGCATGAAAGGAGCTCGGGGGGAGCTCAGATCCCCACTCAGCTCTGCTCAGAAAATGCATTGAAAGTGGTGTCAAAACACACTGAAGGCACCACGGGGCTCATCTGTGCCCTTCGCTGCTTAGAGCTGCAGCATCCACCCCGATTCGGTTCTACACGAGGGGTGAGGAATTGCCCGAATGCTGTGAAATCTGTGCCTAGGGATCGTGTTTCCCAATGGGTCCCGTTGCTGGGGTGGCTAAGCTCTGTGTTCCCAGTGCAGGATGCTGCCTATGCAGAGCATTGCATGGGGTTGGGCCTGTAAACACGTTGCTCTGGGTGTGCTGGTTATGATGGGGAAAGAATATTCCACCCATTTGGAGCGCTCCCCAAAGCCCTGAAGCCCCGAAGCTCTGACATGGGTCAGCCCATGGACTCTGTCACCAACTCGGAAAGGCCTCAGGTTCGTGCTGAGCCCCAAAGCAAGCAGCTCTATGTCCAAACCCACAGCTGTGGGAGCTGCAGAGGGGCAGTGCTGATGCAACAGCCCATGGCACAGCCGTTTGCTCTCACACACTGCGTCTGCCAGGCCGTAATTAAGCAGAAAGCGAAACCAAAAGGCTGGGGAGGGATGTGTGCAGCCAGGAGCCGTGCTGGAGGGCTGCGTTTTGGGATGTGTCCTCGCTCCAAAAGGGTTCTGTTACTCCTTGCTCCTACAGGCAGTGTGGGGTGGGCTCAGGGGATGAATTGTTCCTCCAAGGGCTGCAGTTCTCTGCGATGAGCACAGAGCCCGCGTGGCACCGCCGTGGCATCTTTAGGACGCTGCCACGAGGGCTTTGGGGAGCAGCTGCTGCCCCACATGAGAGATGTCACAGCCCAAACCCCAGGGCTCAGCTCAGCGACAGCTTTACCCCTCAGCCACGTTGGGGGTCATGAAGAGGCAGAGCCCACAGCGAGCTCCACACGAGCCGGGTTTGTCATCTGAGGTGTGACAGCATCCTTCCTCGGAGCCTTGGGAGAGAACATGGACAGGTCTCCATTCATTTCACTGCTGGAAAAGCTTCCCCCCAGCAAAAAAAAAAATAAAACACCTTCCACTTTTCTATTAAAGTCGGAAGGAGCCAACAGCCGCCTCTCCATCGCCAGGCAGGGGTCGTTAAAGTGAAAGCAGCGCTCCAATCACAGCCAGCCCTGCCCACACCGCAGTGCTGCTGTGTCCCAATCCCACTCGCTGCCTCTCAGCTGCGTTCACTTAGCTCGGAGGAATCCCTTTGAACGGAGCCCGTATTTCATCCCCAAAGTGACCGCAGCGCACCTGGGAGCTGAGGGAGGTGTGCTTTTCTATGCACTGAGATGCATTCATGCATTGGTGGGAGGGCAGCCCCGTGGTTCCCAGTGCTCCGTGCTGGATTGAAGCCCCTGGAAAGATGGAGGGGGGCACAGCCTTGGAGGATCCCATCATCTGAGCCCTGCCAAAGTCCCAGCCTATTTCCTAATGGTACCCCCACAGCTCAGAGCAATGGGACTGCTCTCTTCTCATGCTTTGGCGTTATTGTTCCCTCTGTGTCCCCTCTGCCAGCCTCACATGCAGCCCTGAGCCCAACACCACGCTGCAGCCCTTCCTCTGCCATCCCTGCACCCATCCCACTGCCACCCCTGCTCCCAGCCCTGCAATATCAGCTCAGCCGGTGCCAGGACGCATTGCGCTGCAAGGGCAGGATATGGTGCAGGTGTGATCTATTCCTCTCCAAGCTCTGCAGAGCCAAAGGGCTCAGCCACTGTGCAAGGAGAAAAACCAGGAGCAAAGTGGGGAGGAAGGAGCTCTGCCCACCCCAGGACCTCACAGCAGCACCACGTCTCTGCAGACCCCCCTGCCTATGGGGGTCCTCTCCGGTGTCACCCCTTTTGGGCACTGGGTTGGAAAGGGGATGGATCGTCATGGGGCAGTGCTGCCTTTCCCGTGGGGATGCTCGGCTGCTTTCCTCCTCATTGCACTCCCACAGAGGTGTGTTGGGGTTAAAGCTGCAGCCCTCACCCATACGCTCCCAGTCTCAGGATCAGCTGCGGGTGCATTTCCCACGCAAGGTCTGGGCAAAGCTGGCAATACAAAACACCCACATAGAAGCTGGCAACCAAAGCCGCATCCCCACTGCCACGGGGGTTTGAACAACCCTACAGTGACCTCGGGCTGACCCCATATCTCCCCACAGGACCCCGGGAGCCGACGACCTCCCCCCATCAGCAGCTCCTTGGCAGCCCCTTCCCAACCCAGCATGTGGGGCTGAGACCCAAGCCAGGAGCCGGGTGGGTTTGCTTGGAACCAACGCATCCAGATGGTGCACATCAACTCTCCAAGGAGCTAATTGTCCTGGGATGGAGCAGAGTGCTGTATGGTTCTGCTCTGTGAGCAGCAGCCCAAACGGTCCCTGCAGTGGGGAGAACACTTTGGGACTGAGCAATGCTTGGACTGCCACCGGGTTCCGTCCCATGGAGCAAACAGCCAGCCCTGCAGAGCAATTCCCCAAAGCAGGACAGTTTTCTGGGGCTTGGGCTTTTTGTTTCCTAAGGAAATGCTGCAGCTGTGGGCACTGCTGTGCGTCCTCCCCATTCCCAATTGCATGCGTGGGTGCTCGGCTGCTTTGAGCATCTGCAGCAGCAAAGCTGAGTGGGGTGCAACCCTAATGAATGGGAGAGGTGTGTTCTGAGCAGCAGCAACACTTCCCATCAGTGATCCGGCACACCGAAGGACCCAATGGAAGGTGACAGTGAGCTCATGTCACCTTTACTTTCCAATAGAACCCTCTATTTCTATGTACAACGTGGGCTCCCCAACCCGGGGAGGTGTGAATGCAGCCAATGGAAAGATGGGAGTGACCTTCAAAAATAGCAAATCCTGTTCAAATTATCGACGGCGCCGCCTGGAGAATGAAGCTGCCTTTGGCAATAGACATTTTCTTTACAGAATAAAATAAAACATGCTTTAAAAATCAAAGGGAGTCTCTTTGTTAAGGA